TTTTAAAAGAGAGGAAATAATAAAGGTCAAAGTAAAACCAATGAAATATAAACATGAAACTAATAGAAACAATCAGCAAAATCAAAAGCTGATATTTGAGAAGATCAATAAAATTAATAAACCTTTTCTCAAATTGGTCAGAGAAAAAAAGAGAGAAGGGATCACTGGAGGATCACTGAATTTGCCTAAGCAAATTCACAGATATGATACTAAAAGCAGAATTCATTTTTTTTAAAGTGATAAATTGAACTTTATCAAAATCAAAAACATTTGCTTTGTCAAAGACATTGTTAAGATTTTTTAAAAAGACAGGCTATGGCCTAGAAAAATATATTTGAACATAATCTGACAAAACACTTGGATTCAGGGCTACATTCAAAACCCTTCAACAATCAATAAGGAAAAACAATTTTTAAAATTAAAAACTGTTTTTCATTAGTTTTTATGGTGCTGGGGATGAACCCAGGGGCCTCTCGAATACTAGGTAAAGCACTGTACCACTGAGTTACACCTTCAGCCCTCAACACTTTAAAAAGGAAGATGTACAAACAGTAAATAAGCACATGAAAAGGTGCTCAATATCATTAATTATGAGGGTAATGCAAATTAAAACCATAATAAAATGCCACCACTTACATGTAAGAATAACTAATATTTCTAAAACTAATATTACCAAGGTGTGGAAAGGATGCTGAGCAACTAGAACTCTCATCCATTACTGGTTAGACTGCAAAATGGTTTACTCACTTTGGAAAACAGTTTGGAAGTTTTTTATAAAATCAAGCATACACTTACCATAAGACCCAGCAATCCTACTCTAAAAATAAAAAATCAGGTTCACACAAAAATATGCATGTGAATGTTTTTAAGCAAGCTTTATTCAAATCAGCAAAAATTGAAACAACCCAATGTCTGTCAAATGGTGAGCAGATAAACAAAATATGATATATCCACAGAATGAAATGCTATTAGCAATAACAAGGAAAAAACTAATACATAAAACAAAATAAATTTCAAATGCACAATGTTAAATAAAAGCAGCCAGATTCAAAAAGCTACATATATTTGCATAATTTTATTTATATAATATTCTAGAAAAAAATAAAACTGTAGGCATAAATCACAGATTAGTGGAAACCAGGGCTTAAGAAGTGAAGAGGGTATGACTACAAAGGGAAAACACAAAGAACCTTTTGGAGAGCACTGTGATGTACTTTGTAGCTTTACCTAAAACTCTATGCATTTATCAAAAATGATAGAACCATACACCAAAAATAAGTTTTTCGGTATACTAAAAAATAATTTTCTTCCTTTTTTTATTTTGTGATACTGGAGATCAAACCTAGGGCCTCCCACATGCTAGGCAAGCAGTGTACTACTACGATATATTTCATTTCCAGTGCAAAAAATAATTTTCAAAAATAAACTAAAGATCATTTTAAAAAAAGAAGGAAAAAACAGAAGGTTGTTAATAATAATGAAGTGAAACAGTAATAATAATAATAATAGGATAAATTAAAGCCTCTGAAACAAGAACAAGTAATAAAAAGATAGCAGTAAGTTGAAGATGAGTTTCAAAGGAAAGACAGAAATTTAGTTACCAAAATTTGTGACAAATATCAGAAAAATGAAAATGCTGACTTGAATATAAACTATACATTTGGTCCTGATTTGTCCTGGAATCTGAGATAATTCTAACTGTATAGGAGGATTCTACATCACAGATAAAGGAGAAAAGAGGCTCACAGACTAGTAATCAGCAGGGCTTTAGACTTTTTTAAAATACTAGCACCTCTAAATGAAGGATCCTTTGTTTTCTGGGGTTTTTAAAAAATATTTTATTTAATTGTTAAACATTTATTTATTTGTTCATTTTTTTTAAAATTTATAGCAGTACCTGGGATTGAACCCAAGAGCACTCTACCACTAATTATGTCCCTAGCCCTTTTAACTTTTTATTTTGAGACAGGGTCTTGCCAACTTGCTGATGCTGGAATCAAATTTGCATTCTTCCTGCCTCAGCCCCCAGAGTCACTGGGTTTATAAACATGCATGACTGCACCCAGTTCAAGGGTTCTTGATACATAGTATCTAGATAGAATTCTGGAAGTTCACGAAAGCAGATAGTATAAAAATTTATCTTCATTTTTAACCTTTAGCTATGTACTATATTTCCTTAGACTGTGAATATATAAAAACAACTATCTTGACTAAACAGGATTTTGCCTTTATTACTCAAAGAAATCATAGTGTTCCTATTGTATGATGGTATCATGGATCTGCTACTATTTTCTTTTATATGCATTCTGAAAAAATAATTTTCAAAAACAGACCTAAGATAATTTTTAAAAATTCAATTTAGAATGTCTAATTATGACAGGAGAGATTAAAAACAAGGTCTCTGGAAAAAGTCAAAAAAACCGGGCATTAAGGTGGGGATGAGTTTCAAAGGCAGGCAGAAATTAAGTTATCCAAATTGGTCACTAATGTTAGGAAAATGAAAACACTGAACTGAATTAAAGTGTGCCTTTGGACCTGATTTGTACTGGAGTCTAAGACTCATAAATTTATTATTATTATTTTGGTAGTAGGGATTTACCCCAGTGGCACTTTACCATTGAGCTACATCCCAAGCCCATTTTTTATTTTGAGACAATGTCTCTCTAAATTGCTTAGGGACTCACTAAATTCCTGAGGCTGTCTTCGAACTTGCCAACCTCCTATCTCAGCCTCCTGAATCACTGTAATTATAGACAGGCACCACTGTACCCAGCTAAAGCATAAATTTATAAATCATATATTTACAAATCATATATATGAAGTTTTTTAGTACTTTGGTAATTACTCTGTTCCCATCTTACAAAGCTCCTCAATCTTTTCTTTTCATTCTTTCTTTTTGGCATATTAGGGATGGAATTCAATGGTGCTCTACCACTGAGCTACATTCCCCAGTCCTACATATTTTTTTTTAATTTTGAGACAGGTTCTCACTAAGTTGCCCAGGCCAGCCTCCGTCTTCCAATCCTCCTGCCTCAGTGTCCCAAGTAGCTGGGATTACAGGTATGCAGCACTGCAACTGGTTCAAAATTTCTTTCTCCAGGTTCTCTAATATTCTACATATATCTATGAAGTGTCACTATCTCCATGGTTACATAACAGTTTACACCCAAGACAAGGAAATGCACAGCTTTTTTTTAGAGCAATAGTTATATTTCTTTATCCTCATTAGATAGTAGAGTGTATATATGTAGATATAGATATATAGATTTATAGATAAATATATGCAAGTGCTCTACCACTGAGCTACATCCCCAGTCTTCCATGTAAAATTAAATCCATCAAATAAATGTTCCATCTAGTCATATATATATAAAAAGAGAGACCTGACTCTAGGGCTAAATGAAAAGTACTTTCTGAAACTACAGATAGAACTAGTCTAAAAAAACCACATCTATCTTATGCACAAAAAGAAATTTAATAAAGGTATCTCAAAAAGGATTTTAAGTTGATAATATGTGGGGAAGTGTAAAATGTTTACTTTTGTCTCCTAAATACAATACACACTCATTGAGATATCTTGCATTATTGATTTAAAAAGTGAAAAACAGGATCAGAAACCAAAACCCAAATAGCTAGACCTTAAAGGTTTCTACAGTAATACACTCCTCTGGTTCTTTGGGTTAAATAACAGCAATTACCAACCAATTGAGATACAGCAGTTATTTAAACAATGCAAATGTTTAAATGGTAGAGGGGAAAGTAAGGGGATCTAAGGGCAGCAATTCAACTGTGGATCAAACTACCAGAGAGAAAAAAAGAGATTTCTGCAGTCTAGAGATAATCTAATGAAACTATGAAAAAGAGAAATGTTCTTAGAGATAAGTAAATATTATAAATATAAAAGAAAATATTTACAAAAGTAATTTTCTTATAAAGGTATCATTTCCTTCCCATCAATAAAATGTACCCGTTTTTAAAAAAAAAAAAAAAAAAACTTCAGATACACCTCTTATTTTATAACAGAAATCAGGGGCCAAATAGAATTTGCTATTCCATATTTCCTTACCATTACTTGGTGACAAAATGAAATGTGTAAATACAGAACAATTTAATTTCAACTGAACACTATTTCATTTGAATGGGGCACTTTACCATTGAGCATATACCATTTAAAAAGTTTTTTAACAAAAACATACAATATATTCAATCTATACTAATTTGTCCTATATCCACTAACCTCTTAGGAATCTTTTATTATAAGCTGTCAAATTATTGAGTTTTTATATGATTTTTTCTGATTGCATAGTCACTACATGTTCATTACAGAAAACTTACAACAAAAGAATTCCCTATAATTTTACCAACTATAAATAACCACTAATTATTTTATTTCTTCTGTGAGTACTAGCTTACTTAGTAAAAATGCTACTAATCAATACTTTTCGCCCACTTGTTTTCAGTTGTTCAGCTAAGAGTTTTATAAACACTATTTTATTATTATAACAATCTTATTCAAGTAATAGGTGAATAGTACCATTACAGTTTTTATCAACTACAGTTTAAAGTGGTTAGGAAATATGTCCATAGTCACAGAGATAAGTGGTAGAGTTGAACCCAGCATCTTTGATAACTATACAATATCATCATTGATATAGATGATAACATATTCTTCTCTTTGTTCCTAAGTAATTTCCTATATCATAAAAATTATAATTTTAGATGGCTATCCAATATCATTTGAATATATAATAATTTACTTAACCACTCCTCTATTAGATCAAATTATTTCTGTATAATATTTGTAAATGTGATCCATTAAATAGAAAAAATAAAAACTAGGATTGGGGATGTAGCTCCCAGGTAAAGTACTTGCCTAGGAAGCATGAAGCTCTGGGTTCAATCCCTAGTACCATCAAAAAATAAAATAAAATAAAAACTAGGTACATATAAGACTTGTTTGATTAGTTTAAACTTAAAATTAAATATATGATTCAACTTACTCTTTTACTGAGGCATATAACTGGCCACATACTGCAACCTAATGTGCAGCAGCAACAAAGGCAGCCACAAAGTAGCCAACGTACATTAACAGGAAGGTTCTTCTTAAGACAACTGTTAACTCTGTTGATGCTGGCTTTAAATTCTTCAGGAGCTACCTAAAGAAAGAGTTTAAGAAATAACAACATCGAAATATTAACAAACATGTCTCATACATTTTGTCTAATTTTCTAGGAAAAACTTTAGTTTTGAAACATCTAAACAGGAAATAAATAATTGAGCCACTCACTTTTCCAGTTAATGAAGAAGGGAATTCTGATTCAAATTTGTTGCTCAGTCCAAATCTATTTTTAAAAAAATAAGAAGAAAATGTTATTATCTATCACTGTTATAAAAAAATAAAAAATGTAAACATTTAGACTAGCTCTGTGGCAGAGGCCTGTAATCCCAGAAATTTGGAGGCTGAGGCAAGAAGATCACAAGTTTTTTGTGGTACTGGGGATTGAACTCAGCCTGATAACTTAATAAGACTATCTCAAAATAAAAATAAAGAGGGCTGTGTGCTGGGGTTGTGGCTCAGTGGTAGAGCAATCAACTGGCATGCGTGAGGCACTGGGTGCAATCCTCAGCACCATATAAAAATAAAGTAAATGTACTATGTCCATCTACAACTAAAGAAAAAAATATTTTAAAAAATAAATAAATAAAGAGGGCAGGCAGCACGGCAGGGAGGGGGAACCTAGCTCAGTGATATAGTACCCTGAGTTCAATCCCCAGTACCACAAAAAATAAATAAATATTTAACTTAAAGATCAGAAACATCAGTAGAATGTGGATTAATATATATAGAAGTTAGAGACAAATGAAAGTATAAGACACAAGAGCTTCATAATAATCAATTTATGAAATTTAACAAGCAATTATTTGTCAATGAATCAAAACTTTCATATAATAATATGAGACTGAATGTTACCAAATCAGCAGTATAAGTAAAAGAATAGATGATTCATTTAATTTGAGCTACCACCTCCTCCTTAAAAACTTCAGAGCATTTTTGGGGCGGGGGGGGGGTGCTAGGGATTGAACCCAGGGAAACTTAACTACTGAGCCACATCTCTAGCCCTTTTTATTTTTTATTTTGAGATAGGGTCTCCCTAAGTTGCTTAGGGACTCACTAAGTTACTGAGGCTGGCCATGAACTTGCAATCCTCCTCCCTCAGCCTCTTGAGCCTCTGGGATTACAAGTGTACACCATAAAACATATTACCTTTATAGACATGATAGCCAATTTTCTAGATTTGAATGTTAGTGGTAGAGATAAGCCATGGTTTTGAAGGTTAATAGGTGTCCTTGGTAGACACAAGTAATAAGAGAAGGAAAAAAGTGGGAAGGAGGAATAGAAGAGCGAAAGGAGAGAAAATATAAATAAAAACAAAGTAGGGCTTGACAAAATGCTACCAAGAATTATCTTAGGTGACACTCAATACCTACTTGATTGTCAGTGTATTAAATGGTATGAAAGAAAACCCGACACCTCCTCTATCGCCATCTATTCCTATTACCTGAAAGATCGTTCCTTAAATTTGGATTAAAATACTACATGGCTTTAGAAGTGATAAACGATTTTCAAAGATTACAAAAAAATAATAAACTTAACACACTATGATCTTACCTATTAGAAATATACTAATACTTGGAGAAAATGGCATTCAAATTACAAATACTGAACATCTTCTATGAGATATGTCCTGATGATCCTATAATGGGAAGTTTTTAGAACTTTTTTTTTTAAAGAAATAATGTACAAGGTCAATTTACTTTTATATAATTTAATTTTTAGGGGGCTGGGATGTGGCTCAAGCGGTAGCACGCTTGCCTGGCATGCGTGCGACCCGGGTTTGATCCTCAGCACCACATACAAACAAAGATGTGTGTCTGCCGAGAACTAAAAAATAAATATTAAAAAAAAATTCTCTCTCTCTTTAAAAAAAAAAAATTTAAAGTTTATGCACACTCGTACATTGCTGGTGGGACTGCAAACTGGTGCAGCCAATTTGGAGAGCAGTATGGAGATTCCTTGGAAAGCTAGGAATGGAACCACCATTTGACCCAGCAATTCCCCTTCTCGGACTATACCCAAAAGACCTAAAAAGAGCATACTACAGGGACACAGCTACATCAATGTTCATAGCAGCACAATTCACAATGGCTAGACTGTGGAACCAACCCAGATGCCCTTCAACAGATGAATGGATTAAGAAATTGTGGCATTTATTCACAATGGAATATTACTCAGCAGTAAAAAATAACAAAATCATGGCATTTGAAGGGAAATGGATGGCACTAGAGCAAATTATGCTAAGCGAAGATAGCCAATCCCTAAAAGACAAATGCCAAAATGTCTTCACTGATATAAGGGATGTGACTCAAAACAGAGTAGGAAGGAAGAGCATGAGAAGATTACCACGAAATAAGGAAAGAGGAGGGAGGGAAAGGGAGGGAGAAGGGGAAATGCACAAAAGACGGAAGGAGACCCTCATGGGTTCACAAAATACATCTACGATGGTATGGGGGGGGGAAGGAAAGGGGAAAAAAAGAGAAAGAGAGATAAGTGTCACAGTAGTGTGGGTAGACAATAGGGATGGGAGGGGAGGGGAGGGGAGTGGGGCATAAGGAGGACAGCAGAATACAACTGACACTAGGATTGCTGTGTGTATACACATGGATGTATAACCAATGTGATTCTGCAATCTGTACACGTGGAAAAATGACAATTCATACCCTATTTGAATCAAATGTATGATATGTCAAGATCATTGTATTGTCTTGAACAACTAATAAAAATAAATTTTAAAAAAGTTCATGCAAAACACTAGGCAAAGCTTTGAATGTAATTTGGCATTTATGTAGAAATTAATTCTTGAAATAGGCTTGTTTTATTCATATTCCACATACTTCCAGTTCACTATGTCCTCCTTCCTACAATCTACAGCCATAACTCAAAGTGTAAACTAAGCTGTTACCTTGCTTTCTCATTTCATCCAATTCAGCCTTTCTCTTTCCTGATACTGCCTCCCTTTTAAAATCCCCTTTACTCTTTCCTTTGGAACTCCTAATCTGTTGTTATGCTGCTACCAGTATATACCTCCTTATATCTTTTCTTCATCAAAAGGAGATCAACAGAAAAGGAAACAGATCAGGGGAGGGAGGAGGGAAGGGAAAATACTGGAGAATGATATTGGCCAAATTATATTGTTATATTGTGTGTATAAATGAACATGTAACAACAAATTCCATTATCAGGAGCCAGGCACTACATGCTTGTAAATCCAGCAACTGAGGAGGCTGAGGCAGGAAGATCACGAGTTTAAAGCCAGTCTCAGCAACTCAGTGAGGCCCTAAGCAACTCAGCAAGACCTTGTCTCTAACAAAATATAAAAAAGGGTTGGGGATGTGGCTCAATGGTTAAGCACCCCTGGACTCAATCTCTGGTACAAAAAAAAAAAAATCCACAATTATAACCTCTACAATACACCAATAAAAAAAAAATGTGGGGGAAAAATGCCTCTTTCCTTAGGAATTCTCAACTGTAACACATTCCTAACTTAATGAATTATGAAGAAATTAAGCTCCATCTAATTCAGCAGCTTATATACACTGTAATATAGTCCGGATACTGTTATCATTGGGACTGTATCACCTGAAATTTTGAACTGTAAAATTCTATACTACTATTAAACATTCCATGTCTTCCATCCTTACACCAAGGTTTTTGGGTCTCTGATTATATTTTTTTTTTTTTTTTTTTTTTTTTTTTTGCTTCTGGGGATTGAACCCAGGGCCTTGTGCATGTGAAGCAAGCACTCTAGTGAGCTATATCTCAAGTGAGCTATATCCCCAGCCCCTCTGGTTATAGCTTACTGCTTTTCACCCCTTGAAATCTCCCAATGGCTCCATTTCCTTCCCTATGTGTCAAAACTATATACTCATTTTCATTTGTTGTTGGTTTTTTTGTTGTTGTTTTTGTTTTTTTACAAAACTTTTAATTGTTTTGACCGTACTCCAACAAATATCCATTATCATCTTTACAGTGTCTTCTGACAACCCAGGTTCAATTAAACTGTTTACTTTCTTCAATTCTCACTGCCTGGAGCTACTAGGAAAAAAAATCACCCTAACTTATAAATATATTATTTCTAATTTCAGTATTATTGCCTAAGCAATCTTTTTTCTGTTCTATTAAATTACCTTACCCATATTCCATGGTTGTTATTCCTCTTCATGTACTCAGCTTTATCCTCACAACTCAGTTTTTGCAGATAACCATAGTGGTTAACTCCAAGTGGGGAAAAAAAAAATCACTGAATATAAACTGCTTTAGCTTCCCTCCTTTTAACTTTTAGATTTAGCCACATGTCTTCTATATCTTTCTCCCTCTCTCTTTGGGTACTGGGTGTTGAACCCCAGATGCTTTTACCACTGAGCCCCAGCCTTTTTAAAATTTTATTTTGAGACAGGATCTTGCTAAGTTGCCCAAGTTGGCCTCGAACTTTTGATCCTTCTGCTTCAGACTCCCAAAGTAGCTAAAGGCTTGCTACCAACTATCTTCATGAGTTGCTTAGGGCCTCACTGAGTTGCTGAGGCTGGCTTTGTACTCGTGATCCTCCTGCCTCAGCCTCCCCAGTTGCTAGATTTACAGCAACTATCTTCTCAAAGCTAACTATTTGCTCCTGATTGCATACCCTCTGCAATCCCTATCTTTGTACACATAGACTACAAACCTGCATAAGTCCACATGGCCTGAATGTTTTATAGGGATTTTCTTCTCCCTCAATGTATGATAACATCCATCTCTTGTTCTCTCTCAGAGTCTTGAAAGAGTTCTTTACATCCACTATCTTTAACTCAGATCCCATTCATTATGCAAACTATAACAATCGAGGCTTTCAAATGCATCTTTACTGATGAAACTGATCTCATCAGAGCAGTTAAAAAACAACTCTTTTCAACAAGTCTTCTTTTACAGTATGCCTTCTCCTAGTAAAGAGCCTGGGCATCAGAAAGTCTTATTTGGCAAGGCATCGACAAATATTCCTTTGCTATATCTTTCATCTTTGCCAAAGCTTTTTTTTTTTTTTTTAATCAGTCAATCAAAGCAATACTATCAGGTCAAGTTTTTACAAGATCATTGTATTTTATTAAACTGATATGAAAATCCATACTACATGTTTGATAATATAACTGCAAAATATCATCTTTGATGGTTTTGATTTTCTATAGACTGCTAAAGGTTTTTTTCTTTTTCTTCTTTTTCTTTGTGGTGTGGGATTGAACATGGGGTTGC